GTACAACGTTTATTTTAATTGTGAATGTAAGAAATCACGAGGGCTCACAATAATTGTTTTGTACACTCTTATTTGAAAATCTTGAGATCTCTTACACAGGGCACCATGGTCCCATTGGATCAACAGGTCTCTACTCAAAGCACCAACAAGAAATAGAAAGTAAAACTGGAAGCTACCTGAAGCCAGAATTTTCTCTTAGTCAATGCCAAATATTAATTTTTAGCAAACGTCTGCGAAAATGAGCAGGAAAAATTCATAGAATGACTAGCGAAATTTTCTTCACATAGATTTAGTGCTGAGATCATGGCCAAAATATATAAGTCAGAGATACTCAAGATAGGAGTCCTGGTGAGTTTCTGCAGTGCATCTTATAGACAGTGCATACTGTTACTACTATATTTCTATGATGAGGGTATGAATGTTAAAGATGGTGGATGGGGTGCTAAGCAAGTGGATTGCTTCGTCCTGAATGGCATTGAGTTTCTTGAGTGTTGTTGGAATTGTACTCTGCCAGGCAAAAGGGGAGTATTCCACCACACTCCTGACTTGTCTTTATAGATGGTGGGCATTCTTTGGGTGCATTAGGTAGATTGGTGTGTGTGCATTTGAATTCTCCCTTCCCTGGAAGTAGTGAGAATGGGAAATAATTAGGCAAGTTCCTTCTACTCACTACCTCACTGATTAAGTTCTGGGCTAGAAGTTCAATGGTTAACCTTCTTGATTTTCCACCAATTAAGGCCTTTACGTGGGCAATTAATAATCACTTAAGAACCTCAACTCACCATCTTCCTGATCACTTGCCTCCCTGGTCAGTGAGGAAGTTTTCCTGATCGAGAACCTATGGTGACTCACTTGTTGCTTTAGTAGATAAGCCCCCATTTGCCTTAATCTGGGGGCAATTAGATGAATTGATATGGTGGGAGTAAGAGACTAATCTCTGAAACCGCGCCCCCCCCAACTTTGTCTCTAATCCCCTTGACCCCTCGTGTCCCCATGACAAGAAAAATAAATGTGTCTTTTCATGGCTGGATTCCTCCAAGGAATAGGCCTCACGAGTGGACGGTATGACCCAGAAGCTCTGGCTTTAGCAAATCAGGACACCAGTGTCGAGGCCTGTGATAAGCTGACAAATTTATCCAAGCTTGCTTATGAGTTTTCAATGATCTGATTGATGCAGGATGATGTGATTGCTCTTGGAGGCAGGCCTGGTGTCTTAATGCTTCTTGACACTTCATATTATAAGCAGAAAATCACACCCACTGCAGGTTATTTTCAGCACAGTGAATGACTTACCCAGCAGACTAACCACATAATAACTACGCACTAAAACACTAACCACAATGTAAAAGCTGACAATAAGACCACTGTCATCAAAATAGGCACCTTTTGTGGTGTTGCGTTGAGTGGTGACGACATGCAGAATGTCTCTGTGATATGTGCATGTGTCACAACTAGTTTTCTGTTCTTAAAGGCAGTATGACCTTCTTAAAGGAATGGTGAACTGCATTACTGGAAATTGCTGCTGAATAGTATTTCTACAATTTTATGCAGGGAGTATGGAATACTGATAGAGAGAGGGCTTCAAGGAGACAAATAGTAGTTTTCTTGAGGCCTTGGTGGGGTGGTGAGCAGGAGCAGAGTTGCTATGATTGTGCAATGAACCTGGAAAGCCTGAAAACCTCATTAAGAATTGGAAGCACTTACCAAGGAGGTCAATTTTTGCCATCAGATCCTACGAGTTTTGCTGCAGAATTATAAGACATCAAATGACCTTGTGAGTAGGTCAATGCCATCCACTGCATCTTTGCACAAAGAAAAAGTTGGATTTATAAAATACCTTTCATATCCATTGGACATTCCAAGGAGTGTTTCGGCCAATGAAGTACATTTGAGGTTAAAATTGGCATTGTTTAACACAGGCAATCAAATTGCATACAGTAAACTCCCACAAAAAATGTTCTGGAAATAAGATAAGTTACCTGCTGCTCCACCAACAGCTCCCACTGTTTAATGCATCATACACCAAGTAGTGACCCAGCACCATTCTGTGGCACTCAAGATTTATGGCTAACATCCAAATCACCATGAAATATATTCAAGTGATGCTAGCATTGCATCCAGCTCTTGCTGGTTCTACATACAATGAGTTATTCAACTATGGCAGATTCATCAATCAAAGAGTGCAGCAAAATCTCACATCTAGCCTCTTCCTCTCAAGGCAAGCTGGCCGTCAACAGAAAGGGCCAGAGCAAAACCTGAGAAGTGTAACAAATTCAGTTACATTTCATTTACTATATCATGGGGTCTGGCTGCAACAGAGGTCATGAAGAGGTCGAGAACATTCAGGATGACAGTTTATTCCTGCTTTATGTCCTTTCTCAATTTCCAGATGGTCCTCATCATGCTGACTGACATGATGATCAGCCATGGATAGTCTGACTAGGAACTGCTTAACTTCTTCCCTAACCCATTGCCCTCTTTTTAGACTTCCCCTTCATATATTCTGGTTTCACATCCCTGAAGGCAGCATCATCCAAAGTTTGGGAAGCATATGTTATTGGGCATTCTTCTCCATTTGGCCATCTGTGAGCCAACACCATCCCAATACCGTATGGGGAGGCATCGCTTGTCAGCACCAGATCTTGCTTGGGATTATAGTGTGTCAACACGTTAGATGATGATAGCTGCTTCATTTCCCTAAAGGCTACATCTTGGCTATGAGACAATTTCCAAGGCTGACTCTTTTTCAATAGCAGATGTAAGAGTGCCAGGATGGAGGCCAGGTTACTTATGAACCTTTTGTAATAATTCACCAATCCAAGGAAAGACTTAAGCTATGGTCTAGACATGAGAGCCAGGGCACCTTTCATCACCCTCACTTTATCTTCCAATGGCTGTAACCACATCTTGTTGACTCTGAAGCCCAGGTAGGTTACATGGGGTGCCTAGAACACATATTTGTCCCATCTAAGGCACATGCCAATCTTGGAGAAATATCTAAGGACTATGTCCAAGTTCTCTAAGTGTTCTTTATTTGTCTTCCCTGTTATTAGCATGTCATCCAGATAAATGGTGTCCTGGAGTACATCTTGTAAAATGTTCTCCATAGTCCGCTGAAGAAATGGCATATTGGTACAAACCCTAATGGGTATTAATTGTAGCATACTTCTGGGAATCCTCATCTAACTATAATTGCATGGCTCATGCCCAGCTTTGTGAAGGACAGCCCCACCCACCCTGGCCAGCTTTGCATATAAATTGGGATTGGGGATTTATCCAGCTGTGAGAAGTTGTTTACCATCTGTTTAAAATCCCCACAAAGGCGAACGGACTCTTCGGGCTTCACAATTGATGTTCACATTTGGTGCTGCAAATTCTGCAAGCTGTACTGGTTTGAAGATTCCTTCACTTTCCAGCCTCCTGATTTCTGCCTCTGCTTTTGCATGTAACAAAAATGGCGCTGGCTGAGCCTTGCAGACATGTGGAATTGCTTCCTGGTCAACATGCAAGATGGCCTTGGATCCTTTGATAGTCCCTAGACCTTCCTGAAAAACTTCTGGGTAGTCATTTAGGGCTTCACTCATGCTTCCATTTTCTAATTGAAAAACGTTGAGCCAATCCAGGTGAATCTCTCTCAACCAATTTCGCCTTGGGGAAATTTAAAGACACCCACACGCTATTGTTTTTACATCTTTCCATGATCTGCTGACATATCTGTTCTTCCATCTCCCACTGGCTATTGGGAGCCTATAGTAGTGATTGCATCTTTCTTATTTTGAAGTTCTATTCCTATGGCTTTGCTGGATGAGTCCTCTAAAATGTCCGTTCCTAGTAGAGCAGTGAAATTCTCCTTAATCCGTAATGCAACTCCGCTATCCCTTTTACATCCCTCACTATCACACCTAAAACAACTAGACATGGAACACTGAGCTGGAAGTCCTGGGGCACTCTTGTGCTTTAATAGTAATCTCCCTACCCTTGAACCAGGATGGTCGGGTTCAAGTCCCACCTGCGCCAGAGGTGTGTAATACCATCTCTGAACAAGTTGATTAGAAAAGTAGGTGAGCTGAAAGCCCTTCCTTTCTCTCAACCATGTTTCCTTAATGGCTACAACTTTGTAGTTTCATGTGCTAATCCAGCCTCTAAGCTCATTTGCCTTGGCTGTTATAATGTGGAGGTGCCCATATTGGACTGGGGTGGACACAGCCAGAAATCACACCACGCCAGGTTATAGTCCAACAGGTTTATTTGAAAACACAAGCTTTCAGAATCTTACTCCCTCTTCAGGCCCATTGAAATAAATACAATTCAGACTGCCTGTACTGCCATGTTAATTAACTCGGCCCTGCCTGTTCTTTCTATTAGACTTAAACTCTGGCTTTGGCTGTTTGTTAGCCTTATTTATTATCTTCTAGGTGTTTGACTATTTTCAGACAATCATGCCTCCAAGTCCTCTCAAAGTCCTACATTTTCTTCAACAAATTTTCACAAGTTTCTTGGTACTTAGTCAATTTTTAAGTACAGTTTCTTTTTATTAATTTAACATGTCAATTTCTTCATTAAATTGATCCTTTACATAGGTATCAATGCGGGAACACCGCCACAAGGCCGTTCACACTTCCAATGCACCTAAGCCAGCTAAGACAAGTAATGTATAGGGCTTCACCAGACATATCACAGGCGCTGAACAAATAGAATGTTTTCAATCTAAAATGAAACAGAGGAATTTCAATGGATTATCAAGTGTGTCATAAGATGTCTGCTTGGCGAAAGAACTGCTGCAGGTTAAAGGGTCACAAAGCATGTGCATGTCACAAGAGGCTTTCCATGAAATTATCCCTTCAGTGAGGCTTTTGCAAAGAATCCTTGCTGACTATCAGATGTTAGTTGAATTGAAGCATCACGTTGGTTTAGATGCATGAGCTGCTTCGACAAAGGACCTGGCAGCGACGAGTGAATCCTTCAAAGTTTTTAAGGTGGATTGCTCGTGTTTCGGCGAGATGTGGAGATCTCTCTGGCTGTGGACGGCGATCGCGCTGTTTGAAACAGCTTCTGCTCAGTTTCCCCGCCCATGTACCACAGTCTCTGCCCTGCTCTCCAAACAATGTTGCCCATCGCAGGGCTCGGATGCAGCAGTACTTTGCGGGGCTGAACTCAATCGAGGGGAGTGTACTGATGTGCAAGTAAGTGAGAAACCCTGGAGTGGACCCTACAATCTGCGAAACGTGGATGACCGGGAGAGGTGGCCGCTCAAATTCTTTAATCGGACCTGCAGATGTACGGGTAATGGAATTTTCTCCTTTCTGCTTCTGTACGAAGTATTAGTTTAAACTGAAAGAACTGCGGATGCTGTAAATCAGGATCAAAAAGAAAGTTGCTGTAAAAGCTCAGCGGGTCTGGCAGCATCTGTGAAGAAAAAAAGTTAACGTTTCGGGTCCGGTTCTGCGGAAGGGTCACCGGACCCGAAACGTTAACTGTTATTTTCCTTCACGGATGCTGCTAGACCTGCTGAGTTTTTCCAGCAACTTTGTTTTTGTATTGGTTTAAACCTTTGATTAGCGTATCAATCTTTCAATGTAACATTATCATTGGTGTTTATGTATTTGGGGCTTGAAAGCAACTGATCTGTATACTTTATTTCCAGACCTTGTTGAAGTCGCACTGGGGCAATTGATTGGATTGACAGACGTATGTAACTATATCAAGAGAAAAGCTCAGAAATAGGCCACTCAGCCCATTAATTCAATGCCAGTATTTAGCCTCTCCAAAAGTCTCTTCCCTACTTTACCTCCTCAGAAAAAGCCTTCCTCTCCTTTCACCCACGTGTTTTCCGCGTTTCCTCTTAGGTGTAGCTAATCCTTTGCTCTCTCTCTAGCAGACTTTAGGTTCTTAGCACTCTCTGGCTCTTTACATTCGATAGGGTCAGTTGGGAGAAACTGATAGAAAAACTGAGAATTCGAGGGCACAGATTTCATATTATTTGCAAGACTGGTGTGAGGGAGAAAAAAAAAACATTTTCCCAGCAAGTAGTTAGGATCTGAAGTGTGCAGTCTGGATGTTTTGTGGAGGCAGGTTGAGGCATTTTAGAGTGTGTTAGAAAATTATTTAAAGGCAAACAATGTGGAGGGTTTATGGAGATGAGGTTGGAGAATGGTGAGTCATGGTGGATAGCAGGAGCAGACACAATGGGCTGAACGGCTACTTTATGCATCATAAACTTATGTGATTTGGTGATTTCTCCAGAATGCCACATCAGAGTTGTGAGTGACTTTTATGGACCATTGGTTTGGCCAGCACTTTCCTACATTTTTCCGATCAAACTTGTTTTGTTATGTTAAAGACATCTACCTTACAGAGAAAAGAGCCCCAGCACATGCTGCCCTTCTGGACAAATATAAACTCCAATGAATATTGTCATGCTTGTGGATTCTTTCTGAAGTTTCTCCAATGCCACTATATCCTCTTAATAATGCAAGAATATTTAAGGTGGACACATTTTGGAGAGTTATAATGAATATTTGCTTTTCTGACTTGGAGGAAGTGCAGTTTCTAAGATCAGTTCTAAAATTCTTGTTTTTGTTATACATTAGTGACCTAGCATAGGGCACAACTTCAAAATCTGCAATGACACAATATGTGGGAACAAGAGTCTGATAGTCATTTGCTTCAAGAGGGTGTAAACATTTGGGTGGAATGGTTGGATGCAAGGCAGATAAAGTTCAGTGTTGATAGGTAAAGTGATATGCTTTGGTAGGGAGTATGAGGTAAAACAATGTAAGCGAAATGATACTTCTTTGGAAAGGGGCACAAGAGAGAGAGGCCTGGCTGTGTTTGAGCACACATTTTTGAAGGTGGCAAGATCAGTGAGCAAATCACTTGAGATCCTGCACTTTGTAAATGGAGGCACAGATTATGTGAACCAAGATAGCTCACAAACTTGGTTCCACCTTTGTCCGACCCTGGAAATGTGTGAACGTTTAAAAGGGGGCGTAAGAAGAGATTTACTAGAATGATCCCTGGAATGAGGGATTAGACCAGAAAAGCATAAAATGTAGGAGCAGAAGTCAACTATTCAGTCCCTTGAGTCTGCTCCATCCTTAAATAAGATCATGATTGATACAATAATCCTCTACTTTCTTGCCTTTTCCTCATAACCCTTGATTACCTTACTGATTAAAAATCTGTCAATCTCAGCCTCGAATATGCTTAATGACCGAGCCTGGACAGTCTCCTGCAGTAAAGAGTGACTACCCTTATGTGGTAGATGGAAGGTCTGTGGTTTCCCTCCACAGAATAGAGAGCCTAAGAGGAGCTTTGATGACCTTCCACTGTGGTCTGTTATATGATTCCTTGTTCTTATGGTTCCGTGACCTTCAGTTATGTTTGCCGGACCGGCGAGCAGTTTATAGCTTCCTCAATTTCAGCAAATTCTGATGCAAGGACATTGGGATGACATCTGCAAGGAGATGGAATGATGACATCTCAAAAACTTTTTTTGAGATAGTGTGGGTAAAGCAACCCAGTTTGGAGAGGAGAGTTCAACGTAATTCCAGACTGTTACAGCTTAACAGATCTTACCAACAGCACTTATATAGTGTCTTTCACATAGTGAAATGTGCAAAGGCAATTCATGCATCCTTGATTCAGCAAACATTAATACTCAGCAAGGAGGGAAAACATCATGACAGGTCAAGAGATAATCTTTTAGGAAAAGTTTAAAGGATGATCGAAGTAGAATGGCAGTGAGAATTAATGGAGGGAAATCCAGAACATAGTGTTGACAAAAATGAGGGAGGCAAAAGGGAACAGAATTAAGGGAATGTGTGGTTCTTGATGCTCTCCCAGATTGGAGAAGGTTACAAAGATAGTGAGCAACAAACCAATGAACACAGTCATAGATGAGGATGAGAGTTTTAAATCGTTAATGTTAATGGAGCAGGTAAATGAGTGTAGGGATGATGAGTGAACATGACTCGGTGTGAATTAGGACACAAGAAGAGAAAAATTCTGAGGGAAGGACGATGGATAGCTACAAAAGTTAAATATGTTATTAAACTTAAAGAAAAAACATAATAATGCAAAGCTAGGTGGCAGATCTGAAGATTGGACAGATTATACAAAAAATACTAAAGTGTAAGTGAAGAGGGAAAAGAAATATAAAACAGATCATAAAATTTCCCATAGATTTTGTTTATAAAAAGAGTTAAAGTATTAATCCTGGAGAAAGTGAGTTTGCGGAATTGCTAATGGAAAAGAAGAAGATGGCAGATGAATTGAATGGGTATTTTATATCAGTTTTCACGATAGGGGATACAAAAACATTCCAAAAGTCACTGTAAATTAGTAAATGGAAGGGAGGGAGGAACTCAAGAAAATTCTCAGCAGGAATGGGATCATCGATGATTCTATTGATGGCAAAGTAGGCATGAGGGTCCGAATCGTCTGCTGCTAATGCATATGTTCACGTGTTTGAATGGCTCCATTCTGACTATGCTGGGCAGAAGCAGATAATCAGTGTATCAAAACCATACAGCCAACAGACTAGTGCTACCGTAGGTCATGAAAGGAACATTTGTCTGCTTAAATCGGTTGGCACATGCTCTACAGTATTCTTCTGATCAGGTCTCCCAATTAGTAATCTCCCGCTGTGTACTTCATAGCTCACCGTTTAGGAAATGGTGTAGCTTTTATTTTGGAAATCTAGAACAGAGAAGAGCTGATATTAGTTCCAGGCAGTTTGAAAGAAGAAAAATCAACTCAAAGTGAATTAAAAAATGCTATTTTCAACAGCATGAAAGTTGATTCTGATGGGTAAGGACAACTATGTTATCAAGGTGTCAGAGCCAGAAGAGACAACAATCGAATTTAGTGCCATCTGTTAAACGGTGGGATAACACTGAGCAGGTTTGAAAATGTGAGTAATTTATGAGTGTGTGTCTAACCAGCCGTAAGAGAGCTATAATGATAGTTTAAACTGAAAAAGATTGCTGTATGGTTAATAGTGAAATATTCTCTGTAACTTGTGAAACTTTTCTGTTCACTGTAATAGGAAATTTTGCTGGGTATAACTGTGCTGATTGCAAATTTGGATGGACCGGCCAAAACTGTGACCTGAGAAGAGCACCAGTGATCAGAAAAAATATCCATTCTCTGACCCCATCAGAGCAACAGCAGTTCCTGGATGCACTGGATCTAGCCAAAACTACAATGCACCCAGATTATGTAATTGCTACTCAACATTGGCTGAGTTTGCTAGGACCTAATGGGACCCAACCACAAGTAGCAAATGTCACAATATACAATTATTTTGTGTGGCTTCATTACTACTCCACAAGAGACACACTGCTGGGTTAGTTGTACTCTTTATTTTAGTTATCAAGAGTAGGCAAGTTTCTAGTGCTCCTATTTTACATGATCAATTTTATATTGATGTTTACTTGATAACAAGGTAGCTGCAGTGTGAAATGAGTAATTATTGTGTATCTTCTAGTAATATGTTGTTTATTTATTGTATTATGGGAATGAACAGGCATTAATGTTGCTTGATGAGTAACAGTTAAAACATGTCTCGTTCCAGCCTGTCATGTTTTTGGTGTTAATTACTGCTCTTCCAATAATTAAAACATGAATTGGCCTTTCAGCCCCTGAGACCATAATCTGTCCACTTGTCTTTACACCATTTCACAAAAAAAAAATCATCATTCCTAGCTTTAAGTGTTTAAGTTAATTTGGGATCCCTAGTGTTTTGGGGGACAAGTTTTCATAGAGGCTTTGTACGTCCTGATTTTACTCCCAAGTTGTCTAGACCTCATTTTATGACTGTGTTCCTATTCTGGATTTCCAGAGCAAGAGAAAGTAGCTTCTCTGTGTCTACTCAACTGAATTATTTGTCAGGTCAAATGCTTCAATTATGTTATCTTTGGTTTGCTATCCTCAACAGATTTCAAACCAAGCAGAATTAAACTTATTTCAGAGATAGTAGGAACTGCAGATGCTGGAGAATCTGAGATAACAGGGTGTAGAGCTGGATGAACACAGCAGGCCAAGCAGCATCAGAGGAGCACCTCTGTCAGTCAAATCAATCTCAATAGTTTAGTAGCTTCTTAAGCTGCTTCGATTTGACATATTGGAAATCTTGACATTTTACGTAAATGAAATGATTAAATTGAAGGACATTTTTGTGCTTTTTGTAATCTTTGTGCATTTTATCTAAGGTTTCAAGGTCCCAAAGCACTTTTGTTTTACCAGCAATTATTAAACAGAGATGTTAAAACCCAATTAACTGAAATTGGTCAACGCATTTTTTTTTCTATTGTCAAAACCAATTAGAATGGTATTGTATTTTCAACAAGAATATAGTTTGTATATGGAATCTATACTTTCTTAGAGACCACATGTACCTACAATTCTCACATACAGCTGAAAATAAGTCAAATTTCCCCCTCTCTGTACAGATACTGCCAGGCCTGCCTTGCTCCTGTCTGCCCCGATCTCCATTCCCCAAACTAGGGGCAGTCATATGCATGAATGGCAAGTGGAGGGTTGGTCTCTGAAAGCCACAAGCTGCCCTTCTCTGTAACTTACCATCAAGCTCTCTTTCCCTGTGGGCCCCCACACCACAACAACATGATAAGAATGACTTGCCCTCTCACTTCTGGATCCCCTCTGGAATAGGCCTCAAAAGGTGACTTTTACAACCCAGCTTGCCAGTGCCAAAGCATTTGATAGGATGAGATACTCACCTATGTGTTGCCTTGCTGCTATTAATGAATTGATAGGTGTGTAATAGACTTGTTGGTTACTACTTAGCATACTCACCCCTACATTTAAATAGAAAATGGGAAAATCTCAGCCTGTGTTTCCATCCAAAGCTAATTGCAAGCTCCAATATTAATAATATAAATCAGTTTTATGTACAGATCACCTTAATCCTTCACTTTTCATGCGGTTAGCAGTTTAAAGTTGAAAAGGGTGGCACAGTGGTTAGCACTGCTGCTTCACTGTGCCAGGGATTCAGGTTTGAGTCCAGTCTTGGGCAGAATTTGCACTTTCTCCCCATGTTTGTGTGGGTGTCTTCTGGGTGCTTTGATTTCCTCCCACAGTCCAAAGGTGTGCAGGATTGGCCATGCTAAATTGTTCTGTAGTGTCCAGTGATGGGTGGGTTACCTATGCTAAGTGCAGGATCCTGGAGATAGGGTCAGTGAAAATTTGATGGGCCAAATAGCCTCTTTTTGTACTTTAGGGATTCTATGTTATTCTTCTATGACCTAATAAACTGGACGATTGGTTTGTTCAATGTTGTTTCACTAGTGTATGGTATGCTGCTAATATACAGGTTTGAACATCCAATTTCAACTCTAAAAGATTTGGATGACATTGAAAATGTTATTATATCCATTTTTAAAGGGGACTTGCCCTTTGCAAAGGCTAGTTTTGACATTTGACTGAAAAGAATGCATGTAGTCCCATTGTTTGCTCTCACAAACCATAAGAACATTTATCTTAAAGTAGGATATTTGAAGTTTCAGTTCAAACACTAATTCCATTCACTGGCCTTCCAAAATTTTCTATAGATAAATCAAAATTAGCATACTGTTATATATCTGGAAGACCGTTTGGTGAGTATTTTTCTGAGTTTAAGGACAATTTTGTGTGCAAATGACAAATCTCGGATTGACTGAACCATACATGATAGCAATTTGCCAATATGTACTTTCATTTGATAATTTTATTAAATTTTTTTGTCTTTTTTTTCCTCGTTATTGCAGGACCTAGTCAGACATTTAAAGCTATAGATTTTTCTCACCAAGGTCCAGCTTTTCTTACCTGGCATCGATACCATTTAATGTTGCTGGAGAAAGATTTACAGGTTGGGCAGTGCTATACTTTGGTTTAATGAATATGATGAATCATTTTAATTTACAAATGCGTTTTAAAATCATGGAATAAAAGAAGATGGGGAGGTAGATTTGAATCCAAAATAAATGGATGTGCTTTCTACACTCCATTTCATTTGAGGATTACTAACAACCTTTGATTTGAATGTCCAGTTCAAATAGCTTATAAATTAATGAGGCAGGCTTTTTCCCATGGCGAGGTTTCCCACCTCATCATCTGAAGAGTCAGTGGGAAATATTTCCTTATTAATCACATAGCCATTGTAAAGCACCGAGAAGGGTTAATTAGCTGGAAACTGGACATTTTCTCCTCCTCATTTTGCGTAAGTTCTCCCACAGAGATAGTTAGTTAAATCTGATTGTCCAGCAGATTAATAGCTCCTGCAGTTGCAGCTTCAGCAGTGTCCGAGGCTGTGACTACAAGGAATCCCCAGAATTGAAGTTCAGATCTCAGGAGCAGGTAAGTGCAGGGGTTCACAGTTGGGGTTGGGGCCTTGTTTGGGTAATGGAGAGGAGGGAAGGTGAGACCTGGAGATACAGCAAAGGGTCACTCTCTTAATTGAAAAGCCAAGGGGAAGGGAGAACCCACAGAATACAAACCACGGTGAGGAACCCAAGTGTTATGATGGGCCGGAGGGAACATCCCATTCCCCCAAACTATTTTCCCATCTGAGGCCCATACAGGATGACCATTCGGACACATCCCCATGCCCTGAACCTTTTTTGCTAACCTCAAGATGGAAACTGGGTGCAAAATGGCCCTTAAGTGGCCAATAACGTGCCCTCTCAGAACCCAATTGGGATTGGGGGGGGGGTGGGTGCATACCACCTGTAGGGTTCTGCACTCAGTAATTTGTTGATTTTAGGTAGTTTGAATCACCCCCAGATCCCTGGTTCTAAGGCACTGGACTTATTTAGGAAATGTGAAATGAAGAAGACAGCAGTCAAGGGTTTCAGGGCAAAAGAATCTCAGTCTTTATTTATAAGACAAAAGGTAAGTATAATACAAGAAATAAAGGTAAATGCAATAAACTGTGAAATTAACACTATTAATTATACAAAGGACAGAAATATGCTATTGAGGACAGTAATTAAATACACTATTAAATTAAACACTATTAAAACCAAAAGCAACAGTTTGAATCACAGAAACCAATCAGGCTTCCTAACCTTGGGGTCCAATGCACCATCACCACCCACTTTCCCCTCCCTGCTAGCTAGCTTGGAAATTTGGGGTCTCGAGAATTTCAGCTCACCACTGAGGAAAAAACAATTTTAAAGTGCATCTGGTTGCTGAGGTTCTTGCTGTCAGTTGTCTTGGCTCAGAACAGGCCTGTGTCTGGAAGCTCTTGTTCGGATAGCGCTTGATTGGCTTCCCCCCTCTTGAATGACCTTTGCTCTGATGATGCTTTTGGTTTGGCTTCCTGATTCAACTTCTCTGTTCAGCCTCTGTAGGTCTTGGTACCGAAGCTACTTGTTGGGGCTGGAAGTCTGGGGGAAGCTGTTTCTGCAGAAGCTTATTGTTGAAAAAGGCTCTTCCTCAGATGAGATCGGGGCTGGCAGTTATACAGACTGCATGCCCTATTATCTCCCCTAAAATCTGTGTTGTCCATCGTATTTGTTTCCTTCTGAAATCAATTGATTTGCTGATAGTTAAGAGTATGTGTGAATGTATTTTGATTGAAGTTGAATGTCTGGTGTTTGTGTATGGCCCATACTGTCTGTGCTGGGAAGCCTGAGGTGTAAAAGTTAGAGTGGTCTAGAGTGTTAGGTTTCTGGAGATTTCAAAATCCAGAGCTCAGGCTGCAACAAATACACAGAGTCAGGATCTAAAACAGAAGTTGCTGGAAAAGCTCAGCAGGTCTGGCAGCATCGGTGAAGAAAAAAATCAGAGTTAACGTTTCGGGTCTGTTCTGAGGAAGGGTCACCGGACCCAAAAAGTTAACTCTGATTTTTTCTTCAC